ATATATATATTACCTTTTATTCCTTCCAGAAATCAAAGGATTCAATCCCAACCTTTAACTGGTATATCATGAGAATAAGTAGCACAAAAGAATTCTTGAAGAATCTTCTATTCTTCAATATATGTTAATGTAATTCTTAATTAATTTTTCGCATCATAATTGAACCGAGATGGTCAACCGGTCATGCCAATTAATATTTGTTTTAGTAAACCTCTAGTTTACTTGTGGCATATGATTCCAGCATCATGCTTATATTTGTGTAGTACAAATAGAAAAAAGATCGGGTAACCTTTCATATCTACCCGGTATGATTATAGAAATATGAAGATATTCAATCTTCCTTTCATTTATAGTCTCAATATGCCAATCACTTTGACTTATATATTTGAAACTCAAAAGGTTTCTTTTGAGACTTTACAATATCAATGTCATGAATAAGTTATTCATCCGGGTAGTAACAAATTAGTTTTTCCGGAGTTCTTAACAACTTTTGTACAACAAGATCTTTTATCATACCATTCATATGGTAAATGTCTCCTTCACGGAGAAAATTATATCATAATAAATTGTCATGGTCAAAATCATCATAAGCAAAATCATTTCTTGCTTTAATTTTGCCTTTAATAACTTTTATAAGGCATGACAAAATAATATTTGGCATATCACATGTACGCGACCAATGACATATTCATGTAACCACACAATAATATTTATTCTCTTTATTTTACTCAAACCTCCCTTAGAGGTGAGTTGTGTGGTATTCATATAATCATGAATTATATGTCTTTATTCATTGCTTTTATCACAAATTGCCACATTCAACTTTAGGAATGAGTTTGCATTCTCAATGCTTATCACTAGTCACATTCTCTTCAAGGAATGGATCATAATCAGAGACGTGCTTTATTATTTTCATACCAATTTGATGGTAAGCATTGCCTTCACATTTTGAAGGACTATTTTGAGAACCCTTATTGTTCTCCTTTTATAATCATAGTGATGATTATTATTATTTTGATATTTGGAACACCTACATTCATTGGTCAACCACTTGTCTTCATTGAAACTTATTATGCACTGCTATCACATTCACTTCAAGAATGGAGCAAATCAAGTGGGACAATTTTCATGCCTTTTCATGAAAAATATATTATTTTTCTTTAGTCATCATTATATCATCAATATGGTACATTGGGACTCAAACCCAATGTCTTACCAATATAAAGGCATGTTAGGCCATAATAAATTGGGACTCAAACCCAACTCTTATCATTATGGAGCATCAGGACTTGATCCCGATGTCTTACCCTCAATCAATGGCATAATAGGCTAAACAATATTGAGATTCATTCTCAAGCCTTAATTTCAATCACATGCCAAGAAAGTTATACACAACTAATTTGCAACTTAGCAAATCAAATTTGCTTTCTTAAATAAGTGTACAAATCTCAAATCAGCGTAAAGCTTTATTAATTATTTGTAGCATCTATATGAAATACAACCGTTTGTAGTCAGAATATTTCTTCTAAATTCTATTAGAGTTTAAAAGGATCATAAAATCATTGTCATAATATTTATTGAGTCTCTCTCAAAAATATTGTTGTTTTCGGGGTATACCCTACCTATTGGATTTGATTTAACACCATGACTTTCCTTCACTTAATTCAACCAAGCAATTAGTGAATAAATTTATCAAAAGTACACCTAACACATATATAGTACTAATACATAAATTCAACATTTATATTACCTGAAAAGTGACATTATATGTAATAACTTACCGGTTGTAGCTTGTGCATCATTCATATAAAATACTTAAAAATGGTAAGTCAGTAGCAAGCATCAAGTAGGTCATGGATACTCAAAAATACCTCTTCTAGTAGTCATACTAATCATTGTTTGCTTTCAAATGATACGACCATAAATTATGAAGTATACTTTCTCAATAGCTGGTTTGTTTTCCAAATTTCAAAGAAGTAATTAATCAACCTAGATAAAGATGTGAAGTATTTCTTATTTTCTTCAAGATGATTTATGCTTCTATCGGTATGACCCAATTTTTTCTTTATTTTTTTATTTTTATTCTTTTTTTTAACTATATGCAAGTGTAAAAACCCAAAATAGAAAAATATTCATCAAAGTAAAAGAAAATGTTAAAAGCGGCAAGACATATTGAAGATAGTTAACACACAAATATACATAAGACAACTTATATAACATATCATTGGTTACCATGACATGCATCATATTAATAATTAACTGGTACTATGATTTCACTTATAGAACTTCAAAAATGTCATTTCATTCATGTGATATAAAAAATGTAATATTAATATGTGTTTATGCAATACATGTGTAGTACGACGTTGTGTGCATATGAGATATTAAAGAAATAACAAGTATAAGATAATTATACCTTCGTACGTTTCATTACTTACCATATGTAGCTTCTTTTTACATCTAACCATGAGATGTTATGTATGGCTTCTAATTGCAATCTTTTCGGATGTAGGAAAATTTTTGTAGATATAAATACAATTGGTTAGAGACTCGTGCTGATAACGTGTTATAAAATAAAAGCAATTTAGTAAAATATGAACAAGAAATAAAGACAATTTAGTAAAACATGAACAAAAAAAAGAGATAGAGAGAAAGGAAGAGATTTTCTTCTTCAATTGTGTGTATTTTCTTATCTATTACAAAGCCTTTATATAGGCATGAAAAGTGAAGAAAACCATTTGAGAGAAAGATCATGGAGGAAGAGTAGACATCCACCATATTTTGATTTTTATCTTAACAGTATTATTGATTGTTTTATTTTCTGATTTTTTTATTTGCTATAATCTTGTTTGTAGAGGGGACAAAACTGGTCAATAAGGGTAATAGCAGCAGCTTGTTTATCAATGGCTGCAAAAATGGATGAAAGCAGAGACATATTGCCATCATTATCAGAATATCCTATGGAAAATTTTGAATTAGATAACAACACAATTAATGCAATACGGATGACAGAAGATTTGATTTTAGATGTCCTTAAATGGAATATGTGGTGTGTCACTCCTTTTGCTTTCACAATATATTATTTTCAATCAAGATTCTGCAGAGAAGATTCAAGAAAAGATTATATTAGAGCCAAAACTATGGAGATCATAATGAGTGTACTTAGAGGTAATGAGGTTCTTTAATTTCCCCTGTTCAATTCGTAGATTTATGACTGTAATTATAGTTATTAAGAGTTAGTAGGCGTTTGGACATAAAAATTATAATTTTTGAAAAAAAAAAATAGTATTTGAAATTAAGTTGAAAAATGGTGTTTGGACTTTGAAATTATTTTTGAATATGCATTTAACTTGAAAAGATATTGCAGTTTTGTGAGTTTTTTCCTTGAAATTTTTTAAAAAGTAGTCAAAACCACTTTTTGATTTTTGAAAAACTCATTTTCAAAAAAATTTCAAAAAGTTGCAAAATCTGGACAACCACATTTTTGAAAAGAAAAAGGTTTTTTTTTATGGACAAATGGGCCTAAAACTTTGCCTAATTTATTGTGCAGATGTGAGGTTAATGAATTACAGACCATCTGTAATTGCAGCAGCTGCAACATTATTAGCACTAAACCAAAACTTGACCATGGAAGAGCTTTTGATGAAAGCCTTGCTTTTAAATGGAGCTGCGTTTCTTCAAATTGTGAGTCTTTCTTTTTTAATTAACTTTTTTTCTTGCGGACTATATACGTTATTTATATAATCTAATAATGTAATTGCTGTGTTTGATTCAGGATAATGTGTGTTACTGCTACTATAAATTGCTAGAGCTGAACAAGAACACTACCTTCAGGTCCAAATGAAAGCTCCCTTTTGAGGATGATGATAAACAACCTCAGATGAAGAAATAAAGAGTTTTTGCCAAGAATTTTTCTCAAGAGTCAGATTGTAATTAGCTTCTTTTGTTATACACTACATTGAATATGAGCAAATTAATAGATGCCGGGAGAGATTAGAGGAAATAAAACTAGAATGAAAGAATTATTTCTCATTATAGGGATTGTTGAAGTTAGTAAATTGAGCTGACCGATAGTGTAAGTAATATTTTAGGACGTGTTTGCTTCTCTTTCTTTTCATAGTATACCAAGAAAACTCCTGACTTTTAAGTGGTTGAATTTGTCTGAATGTTTAGGGGCATTGCCTTCTTTTTTGGACGTATGTTGTAACTTAATTTTTAATTTTTTTGTTGGGGCTAAAAAAGCCCCACGTTGGTAGCGGAAAAAACTAGAAGCGTACATATGGTTCTTTTAATGGTGTAAGATGTTTTGAGGAAAAACGTGCAAGATTTGATTCAAAACAGACAATATCGCATCATGTTAGGAGTGTATTTGGGCTAGTGTAGCACAACATTTTTTTTTTTCCTTTCATATAAAGTTATCCATATTATGAAATCTTTATATTCCCCGGTAAAACAAAAACCCCCTTTTTAAAGGTTAGAATTTCCATGTTGAATTACACGTGTTGTATCACATCCTTGTGTTAGTGTACTTCATTTTGGCCTTTTTTGTAATAACTGAAGGACTTCTCTTTACTTGTGATGTCTGTTGAGTGAATGGGATAATGACCTTTGTTGTAACATATTCTAGTATACGTTCCATATTTCTTTAATTCATTAACATTATGTCTATATAATTGGAGTAATAAGCTGTGAATATCTGTACTATAAGTGTTGTTAGTGGTTGAAACTCCTAATTTACTAAAGGCTTATCCTCAAAGGTACGTCCATTTGCATCTTAGGAATTAGGTTGGTCGTCTAAGCAAAAATAATACATCAAATTTTTACATTAGTAATAAATGTTTGGTTAGCCAAACAAGAGAATATAATCCCCGCATGACTAAATGCAGCATTACAAATACCACATAACTTATACACGAAAATAAAATTAAGTAAATTAAGATACGTGTATTAGTAACATTTATACAAAGAGTAAGTTATACATATACAAAAGTCTCTACATTATCATTTATTGCATGAACAATCTCTATATCTCATTCTTTGACTGCGTTATTCATTTAATGGTGGATTGAATGATCGACTGTTTTGTTGTTTCCTTATGCTCTTTAGCTTGGGGTTCAATGCAGTAAAAAAACCACAGATTACAAGCTGTCAAATGATGCTTAGGAGAACAAATCTAATCCATCTCAACTTACTTTTTCAAGAATTTATAAATTATTGCTGTGAGCTTTGAGATCTCTGTTTGTTACCCTACCAATATGGTGATTGTAAAATAGAATAGCGGAACTTATTATTTGTTTATCAATGAATGCACCTAATCGGACCGGGTAAAATTTGTCAAATGCACAATGAAATGTAGTTACATTCATTTCACTTTTCTCTTTGCTTATCGATATTCTCAAATTCTTTGTTTTTTTATTACTAGTAGTATATAAGTATATTTATTCTTATTACTAGTAGTATATAAGTATTATAGGTCTAATCACAAGTAAGCCAACATCACTTCATAATCATTTCTTGTTGTCAGCTTCTCCTTCCCTTAACATCACAAATCCTACCTTGTACTAGCCTTTTGTAAACTGCCAAGGCTGCCACTATACTGTTAGTTTTTTTATGGATTTCATGGTGTTTTAAACACTGAAATCATTTTCTTTTCACCTCAATTTATTCTTGTAATTAGAAATCAACGCAGCCGATGTGTAAAAGTTGCCGATAGCACAACTATCAACATGTGTATGTCCAAATTTGTACAGTTCGACCCTTAATTAAAGCATGCACATAGTTGCGATTATTCCAACCATAAGTATGGTTTATTTCTCTAGAGCAAAGGCATCCGGAGAATAGGGATGAAAAATCACATAATTAGTAACAGGGTTTCAGTTCTACATACCAGTAGTCGAAAGGTTAAGCTTTTACTGCAAAAGTAGTGGACCATAAGATGCTTGCTATACAGACTTCAGAGTGAGATGTAGATCGGAATATCACTCGACAGAGGTCTTAAACCGTTATTAGATGAAAACGTTGCGATAATGACAAGGTAGTAACTTCAGTTACCTCAAAACAACGATGGAAAGATCTAGTAATGGTTGAAATAAGTCAATGGAGGACAGACAAAAAGAGAATAAGGAATATGATTGTTCCAAAAATATTGATATAATGATGCAATGAAACAAAACCAACCAGAAGCATACCATATCAAGGTGTTATTACAACCATGACAGGTTCAGAAGACGTTATACTTCGCAAGTCATTGATTCAAAATTTCAATTCCCCTTGAGGTGTACAAGAGAGCTCCCACCAGTCCAGTATCTTCAGAACCGTTTTCCAAACGTTATAAGAAGCTGTCGGAAATTGATAAAATTGACCAACTCTTGCTTTTAGGTTAAGATCTCCACCCTTCAAGTCTCTGTGCTTTGACGCTTTTGATTGATAGCAGCTTAACATTTGAGTCGATGCCCTTGAGTGATGTTCAAGCAAGTTGTCACTTACTAGTTCCTCCAACTTGAGTTCAGGTTGATCCTACTGGGATCATCTTGATGGCAGCAGCAATCGGCATGCCAAGAAATCCAATTGCAACACTTGTAAACCACTGGTGCCATGTAAGTGGACAAGTGCTTGCAAAGGTACCAAGGAATTCAACAATAATGATTTGGAATAGAACTGTACAGCCAAGGACGCTGACGAAAACATAGTTGTTCAATATACCATTGAAGACATTTATCTTTTCCATATCTCGAGAGCTAATCTCATTGAACACCTGCAAGAAAACGCAAAGGTAACACTTGAGTTTTACTAGTGGATTTGAGTAAAGTTTTAATAAATAGCAGAAGTTCCATGCTTCCAGCAAACTGTTTATAAACCTTCGCAATCGATTTAAATATGGAATTGAGATGACATACTTTTTTCCATTTAGCAGAAACATTAATAATTACTAATACTTAGAAAGCTTTCATGATTACTCGCAGTGATCAATCTGTGTTTTGAACTCACTTAACAAATATCCATTAACATCAACAAAATGTGAATCTACTCAAGAATTAGAAAAACATGACAATATAAATTTTTGCTAATAATGCATTAGAAAGTCGTGAAAGATTATATATTGAAAAGGAAAATTGGAAAATTACCTGACAGAATACAAATGAGTTGAAAATGAGAGTGTTAAGAATCAAGTTGGCATCTGAGCCATCAAGATGAAAGAGAGCTTTGCCTGAAGTCTGAAGATACCATATGACTACAAATTGGTAAAGAGATTGTCCCAAAATGTTCCTCCACATGACATTGCTAATAAAGTTCCCCTTCCTTCCTACAGGGGATCGCTTCATCAAGTCACCATTAGGAGGTTCAGTAGCTAGAGCAAGAGCTCCCAGTGTGTCCATTATCATGTTAACCCATAGAAGCTGAACAGCAGTAAGCGGAGCATTCCCTGAAAATGTATAGAAGATACATCTCAAAATCAAACCTTTAGGGGAAAATGTGTTAAAAGTGGTAAAAATTTACTTCCCGCGTTTCAATCATATTTATGTAGCATTTAAATATGTAAATTGTATTTCAAAAAGATTGAAAATTCCATGTCAAATTCAACTGAAAAGTACTCTGAAAAGGTTCCCATAAACTGAAATGGAGGGAGTAATTTTCTTAGGTCAAGATACGCTACCTGTCAAACATGCTGAAGAAAAGTTGACAATCAAGGCAACAACATTTACTGTCAGCTGAAATTGAACGAACTTTTGAATATTCACATAAACTGAGCGCCCCCATTTGGCCACAGTCACAATTGTTGAGAAATTATCATCTAAAATTATGACATCGGCACTCTCTTTAGCTACCTGGAACAGAAAACCAGACAACATGATGACTACAGGTAGATAAATGAACATTAAATAACCACATAATGTTTCCACTATGTCCTACTACACGAAGCAAGATGATATAACTAATCACTTTCACTTCGAAGCCCAAATTGTAGAGGGAACATACTATATAAGGGCACTTCAAATCTTTGAGCAAGAAAATGGGAGGTTTAACAAGTTGCTGAATGACAATTTGCAGCTTCTATAAATGCTAGACGGATAGCAGCTCTTTAGTTTTAGTAAGCCAGAATTAGTAGAAGGAATCATAGGATTCTAAATCATGGAGTTCTTGGTTTAACAGTACAACTGCCAAATCTAATTACAAAGATTTCCTTATCAAAAATAAAATCTAATTACAAAGTTTAAATAGCTAAAAGGAAGCTGAACTAATACACATCAAGAGAGAAGTCATTCAGGAAAAACCCACCAACAGCACTTTTGAGGTTATACATATTCAACATCATTGATTAACAAAATAATAATCATATTATACTCATTACAGCACTGTATAACAAAATCTATATAATACGATCTTTGGCCAGGAATTTAAAGATAAATTGAAATGTTTAAATTGTATCGAGAAAAGCCTTAATAGGAGAGCTAGTGCAATTAAAGCTAAGTTGCTTATGGCATTACAGAAGGAAGATCTAAAAAGAGAGAAGTCCATGAGCTCTGCCATGCCAAACCTTCTTATTTTGTGGTAGAGTAAATTCTTTGTGAAGAAACAATAGGGTGGTGAAAAAAAAGATCAAGATTTCCGTAGCAATAAAGAGAAAATAAATCCATACGCATGCAGCAGGAAAAAAGAATGTAGATCCATATCAAAACTTCTTATTTTGCGTACAGTAAATTCTTTGTATAGGAACATTAGGTTGGTGAACAGAAAAAGGGTCACGATTCCTACAGTACAGGACCCAATTAAGCATCTTGGGCCAAAAGGCACACAACTAATACATCTTTTCTAATAAGAGTGAAGGCGAATCACATTAGGAAC